TTTTTTTTTTTTTTTTTTTTTTTTATCAGTGACTCAATTATAATAACTTTAAAAGTTAAACCGATAGGGTCTAAAATGGTAATTTGCCCAATTATGCACAGTTATTACTCTCTTTCTCTTAAACAAAATTTCCATTAATTTTATAAAATAAGAAAAATGAAAAAAATATAAGATTATATAATTTTGTCATTTCCGGAATAATAAGCTCTGAAAGGGTTAAACGGCGTCCCGCGCCTGAAGTCGCTGCAAAAGCCTCGCTCTTTTGGAACCAGAACAACCTTAAACCCTAGAGGAAAGCCATGAATTGGTCACTATTGAGAAACGTCTCTCTCAGAGCTCGCAGTCATCTCCTTAATTCTCCCACTTACAGGTCCAATGCCGTTCCTCCACGCTTGCTCTCAGCCCCGTCGACGTCTCAATTCAGGCTCTTCTCCTCCGAGAACGATTTGCCGCCAAAGGAAGATTCAGGAAGTGTTTCCGAGGCGAATTTGGTGCCCACTCAGAAGAAAGAGATATCTTTGGACGTCCAAGATGTGAGCAATAAAGGTATTTTCTTTTTTTTTTTTTCCCATAAGAACGCTCTGTTTGGCGATTGATTTCTGCGATTGATTTCTGCGATTGAACTAAGCAATGTAATGCGAACGTGAAATTTATAGTTTTTCTTTGTATTGCACTTTTAGTATTTATAAAGTCGAAAGGCTTGCTCGCGTGAGGGGAATGATAGGTTACAACGTTAAATGCTTAGATCAGGCTGATTTTGTTTAACTGGCGTCTGCATCTGAAAAGTAGTCATCTCATTTGAGTTCTCATTTTTTTTTTCTGTAATTCATGTCTGAGCTTGTTATATTTGCTTAGAAATTTTTTTGGGTCTGACGTTGGTGCCGTGGTACATTAGGGTTTTGTTCAATGCGACTTTAATACGAATCATGGGAGTTCCAAATTATAATGTTTTCCATTTGATCCATGAAATTTCTGCCCTCAGAATTGAAAATGCGGATAGATAAGTACTTCAAAGGTGACGAGGAGGCACTTCCATCAATTCTTGAAGCTATTCTTCGGAGGAAACTGGTTGGAAAGCATGAAGATACGGATGATGAACTTGTTGAAGAACTACAAATGCAGCCATTGGATGACGTCAAGGACAAAGAGTTTGAATCTGATTTTGAAGAATTGTATGAGACAGATGAAGAGATTGACGACCTTTATAATACTAGGGATATAGTTATGAAAAAAATGGTAAAGAACGAATACTTCAACATGGATGACAAAAAATGGGATGAGCTTGTTGAGGATGGCATTAAGCATGGGATTCTGAAGGACACCAAGGAGTGTGAAGAGATTTTGGAGGATATGCTTAGTTGGGACAAGCTCCTTCCAGGTTTGCCCGTTTCCTTTACATGCTCGTTTCAGTTGGTATCACTCCTAAGAAATTAGTGTGCAACATTCCATCATATTTCTTGTGTTATACTTGCCTTATTTCTTCTTCCTGGATTGGTTTCTGACTTACGTCCCTTCTCTGCGTTCCTATTTCTCTTCCATACTATACTTTCGAAGCAAAAGGTTTTAAATGTAAGTTTATGGTGTTGTGTACGCTACCAATTTGTTTCTGGTGGTTCATATCAACTAATTGTAGCTTCATTTTGCATCTTATTTATTTAGTTATGATAGCTATACATCGATATGATGTTGAAGTTCTAAAGAATTATTTTCCATTTAGGCTGAAGATTTCAAACTGGCTCCGAAATGGTTGTTGTCATTCCTCTCTTTATGCCCAATTAGAAAATTTTCTTTGGATTCTATCTGCCGTATTAAGTCTCCTATAACAAAGAGTCCCCAAATAGAACTTAACTTTCTGTATATCTTAAACTTCTAATCAAATGCACCGAAAGATCTTTCATATCACTAGGCTTTGAGATATGGAAGAAAACAGATTTTCAAGAGAAAGAACACTGAGGAAAGCGGATTTTCAAGAAAAAGAACCCTTGGTGTCTATCGTTTTCTAATGGTGTATCTATCGTTAAGCCATGTATGAAGTATCTATCACTTTCTTATTACAGGTGATCTATTGTCTCATGTATTACTTCTTGTCCTATTATGGTCGTACTAACTGGTTGGGAAATCATCCTTTCTCTTCTCGGAGTAAAGTCCACTATTTCTATTTTTGGTACTATTTATGAATTTGAAGTGCGAGACTTGCAAAATTTTATATCTTGTTTTCTTACCCCATTATTTAACTTTTTGTCCAAACCTATGGAATTTCAAGCCTTGTGAGAAACAACATTTGTTGTGTTAACTTGATTGTTATAGTTGTCTAACTTGTGCAATCATCTCTACAATTGTTTATTTTGTGTTACGTTCATGGTAACATTACCTTCCTGAATAAATTCTCTTTATTGAAACTTTTTCCCATTTCTTGGTCATTAACTGTCCATTAGATGATATGAAGAAAAAAGTAGAAGCAAAATTCAATGAGCTGGGGGATTTGTGTGAAAAAGGGGAGCTTGAACCTGAAGAAGCTTACAATCTGTTTAAAGAATTTGAAGATCAGATGGTGATGGAATATGGAAAGATGATGGAGGCAGAAGGCCCCCCGAAGTTCGATGAAACCGATGTGCCAGATAATAAAAAGGACTTGGATGACCCGCCAGGTGAAGGCCCAATTCTTAGGTGGCAAACAAGGGTCGTGTTTGCACCAGGTGGGGATGCATGGCATCCCAAAAACCGAAAAGTGAAATTATCTGTTACTGTGAAGGAGCTTGGCTTATCAAAGTACCAATTCCGTCGACTGAGGGAGTTGGTTGGCAAGCGCTATCATCCTGGGAAAGATGAGCTTACCATTACCAGTGAGAGGTAAGGTCAACAGTTATATGCTGTAACCTTTAGTTCTATTGATACTTGTAGTAGGACCATGTTTTTGGTGTTCGACACATCTTAGTAGGACAAAAGAATGCATCTGGCATTTCTAATAGAGATGCCAATTTCTTGTGACACAAAATAAATAGGACAGATCGTCACATTTTGTGCCCCCCGGAATCTTGACGACGAACCCCAGTCAGATCTTGCTGAACTTTCGCAGTCTATGTCATGATTTGTCTGAGTTTAGCTTTCATTGTTTCTAACTTCAATTGTACTTCTCAGGTTTGAACACAGGGAGGAAAACAGAAAGGATTGCCTCAGGACTCTTTTTTCTCTAATTGAGGAAGCTGGAAAAGCCAACAAACTTGTAGAGGATGCTCGAACTTCATATGTGAAGGAGAGGCTGCGGGCGAACCCCCAGTTTATGGAGAGGCTGCGTGCCAAGAAAATGGGTTCGCAAGTATCAAGCAGCCCTTTACCTGCTTGATTGTTTGACTTCGGATGCTGTTGAAAAGAAAACTACTGATTTGGTAAAACGTTTCTGGATATGATGTCTCCTCCAATGATTGGTAATGTTTAAAATATTTTCTTTACCTAATTAGTTTTCACTATTTGGGGCAATGACAGAGAAAAAGGAACACTTGAAGTTAAAGATAGTAGATTTTGTATACAACCATAAGGTGATATTTGTTACCAAAGTTTTCCCTCTGAATTACCCTTTTTGGTTGGAAATCTAGGCTTCTTTCTTCTTCAAAAAGCTTTATTTTGGGATAAACATCAAATCTTGTTTAGCCTTAAACAGAGGGAAAGTAGGGATGTGTAGCTATAATAAGTAACCTTTGGTTGAGATTAGCGATATGAAAAATTGATTGCAGAAATTGGTAAGCTACTAATTTGCCATGTTCTATGGTGGTAATGCCCAATGGAACATTTTTTATTTTTATTTTTTTTTAAATTTATTGTTTATATAGGTTGTGAGACCCCACCTCGCTTGGAGAGAGTAACAAAACAAAACATCTTTTATAAGGTGTTTTAAGGTGTGGAAAACTCTCTAGTAGTAGATGTGAGGTTGACGGTGATATGTAAGACGTTAAAAAGTCATAATCGTTAAAAGTTTTTGTTTATTAAGATTTATCATAGAAGTATTTTATGAAAATTTATAATTCATATTTAAGTGCCTATCCCACTAATTAATAATTTATTTTTTGATTCAACACATATTTGAACCATTGACTTTTAAGATGATAATTGGTACTTTATCTATTGAGTTATTCCGAGAGAAGAAATCGAATGATCAATGTATCTAATAATTAGTACCAAGGACTTCATTCTTTCAAAAAAAAAAAAAAAAAAAAAAATTGATCCAAAGTAATAGTGTAGAGCATAAAATTTTCAACAATGATACCCGTCGTTCATTTCTCAGTTCAAAGCACAAGATACAGCAACGAGAACAGAGTTGCTTGCATTATTCATATTCAATGGAATGACATGAATACTACTAGTAAGTATAGCTTAAAAATGATTTGGGGAAGAAAGCGAAACAAAACAAAGCACAACACATTTTTCTTGTCTTACCTGATGATTAGCGCGTTCTTCCTATGAGTTGCTGATCTGCTGCTGCGTACCATCTGCAGGAAGAAGCCTAGAGGCATCTGATAGAGCCACCGCTGCTGCCTGTGTCATAGCTTGGTACTGAGAAGCCATCAGGGTAGCCGCCGGGATGTTCTGCACTGGAGCATTAGTGTAATCAAAACCGTAATTAGCAGTGCTCGACGGAGCGGGAGTGACCGCTATAGACTGAGATGGATAGTTCATTTGGGGAAGACCCATGTAAGGTTGCTGGAACTGGTTGTGAGGAACCTGTAATAAGGGAGAAGGAGTCGATGTCACCGCAGTTCTGTACACGCTCCCTGCTATTTCAGGCATAGCTGCTGTAACTTTCTGAGGATACAGGGACGGTTGGTTACTATCATTATAGATAACTGGGGAAGGGACAATGGCAGGACTAGCAGATGCCTGCCAGTTGGGTGCAGCCATTGGAGTCTCAGCAGGACTAGATTGCACAGACATGTTGTAGGTTGGTTGAGCCTGCGTAATCGGCATTAGATACACCGAGTATTGCTGATCGATTGGTTGATGATGTTGCTGTTGAGATGGTGTTTGAGTGTAAATAGGATGATAATACGATTGAACCGGGACGTGCCCGGCCCCTGCAGGGTGGTGGTGATGGATGTAATGGGTGGTGGTGTGGATGAATTGCTGCGGTTGTTGTGGCTGCTTCTGATCTAATTGTGATGTTAATACATAAGCAGGGTCATGGAGGTGTTGTTGAATTGGTACTTGTTGACTTGCCATGAAACCATCGCTTTCTGCAATGGGAATGGCTGGGACTGTGTTGTCTCTCATGATTTGATCTTGAAAATACATTGGTTTGGACTGAGAATTTGCAAATGTTATGCTACTTTCGCTGTTACAAACACCACGAACCATTTTAGAATGAAGAACATGGTTTCCATTTTCAATTTTCAAGAACAGAGTGTAAGAAGTATGAATCAATCTTCAAACTATCAAGAACACAATAACCAGAACTGCCATGGTGAAGATCAAAATAACAACAATCATACATGCTTCACAAGAGTAGGTATTAATCTTCTTATGATCAAATTTCTACCAAAAACTAGGAAGCTCATAAGCTTAACACAGGATGATTTCTGAAAAACGAATGGATCCAGAGAAACAAGCAATTGGGAGAATATCAGAAAAAGGATTTTGAAAATCAAAACTCAGATTCCAGCTGAATGATTAATTTGCATAGGAGTAAGCAAAACCTGGCAGCAGAATCCGGCGACGGTTGACTAAAACCACCGCTAACGGCAGGATCAGCAACAGCCCTGTTTTGCAAGGTCTGCAATGGCAATGGAGGCTTCCGATACACCACCGTACCCATCTGGTCCGGTCTCTCGTTGTCGGGAAAAGCCCGATTAGCATTCGCATGATTTGAAATAGCACCTGATTGAATAGTTACGGCAGGAGCCAACGCCGTTGGAATTGGAGGTACGCCAAAATTCATCTGCCCAAACTGATCCTCCAGTCCCACCTTCGGATCTTGAACTCTGCCCTCCACCTCCTCTACATGGACGCGTATCGGCGGCAAGTTGGACATTGACGGTACCGAAGAAGACGAACCAAACGAAGAACCATTTTCCACAGCAGGAGAATCAGGAATCGATTGCACATCTTGGGCGGAATTACCGTTCGTCACAATCTGTTTGTCAATATGCCCTAGAGAATCGCGACCTTCATTTTCCAAATCATTACACGAATCACTCCCATGATCCGCGTCGATATTCACCATACACTCCATGGTAGCCGAATCGGAAAGCCCTCTCGGAATCATCACAGCAGAGTTATTTAGGGCATCAACGAACCACGTTTCGTGTTTGGCATCGTCGAGCAACGAACCCATAGAAGCCACGGTTTCAGGCTTGGTGAAGAAGAGGAACAAACGGATTCGCAAAGGTTTTGGCGGCAAAGCCATGGCGATTCGGTCATATTCTTCGATCATGTTCTCCAGATCCTCATCCGTCGCGATTGAAATCAAGGAATCGAGATCTTCGTGAGGGAGCTGGTACTTAAGGGTGAATGAGCGGCCATTAAGGAGGGTTCGGGAGAGGCGCATGCAGAGGTCGGAAAGAGCGGAATGACGGTCAACAATGACAATACGGGTCTCGCCGCCGACGTAGCAGAGGGTCCTATCGTGAGGACGAGGGATAATGTGGCCGCCATAGCTGCACATGAGGCGGAGCTTGGCGCCTGGAACTGGCGGGAGAGGGTCATCCCAGTCGGCATTGTGGGACCGGGGTGAGGATTCTACGGAATCCTGATAGTTGTTGTGCTGCATGGAGGTCGCTGCAAAGTTAGCGGCGGCGGCCACGGCGGCCGTAGTCGCACCGGACGGTGGTGGTGGATCCATAATAGTCAACCACTAATGAATTCAATTTGTCTGATGGGAAATGGGAAATGGAATTTTGCTATAGATTTGGATGAAACACTACCGTTTTAGTTTAATTTCCCCCTAAAAATTACCTTATTCAAACTTCTAAAATTGCCCATTCTTTTATTTTATTTTATTATTATTATTTTTTTAATTTTAAATTTTAAACTACTTTATATTACAATTTTATTATATGGTATGATAATATTTCTTCATTTAAATATTTTTCTTTTTCATAAATTTGTGTAATTAATTCAGATTAAAAAAAATCTCTTAATTTTAATTTTTTTTAAAAAGAATTTTGATATAATTTATTTTAATTAATTATTATACTTAATTTTTAGATAAAACGTTAGAATATATGCCGATTAAAGTTATATTTTCACTCCGGGGTTAGCTCATTTCCGATCCTAGTAACTCATGCGAAACTATTTTTTAATAAGTAAATACATTAGTTTAATGCAATATAATATTAGTTTTTTTTAACATTTCCAATAAACTTATACACCGAGCTTAATTCTTGGGTGTCGGTTAAGAACGATAATGATCTACGTTACACACGACACATGATTTCATAGATAGTTTCATTTGAGATCGTGACAAAGGACATAACTTCACGAGGACAACAGGAAACATAAAGAGTTTGAAGAAAATTTGTTGATAATCAAGACACTGACCTATCATGCACTGGATCCATCCGGTTACGAGGACCTGTTGGTCAATGAAAAGTGGAGGTCCTAACGTCGAGACAGGTCTCTACAAACGAGAAAGAAACGTCAGGTCGGAAAGGATATTTATCTCGAACATAAGAACCCTATAATTTGGGACGGTAATTAGGGTTATTAACCCTAAACTAAGCACAAAAATGAAGATTAATTACCAGTATTGAGGCAGCGTTAAGTTGTGAGCAAAGGAAAGCATGATTGATTCATAAGTAGGTATGAAGGTGTTGAAGGGCAGCATAAACCCTAATTTTAGGCTTCCTCCCATTTTCTTCAATACCTCCACAACCTTCTTCTTCATTAGTTCATCATCAACTTCACCATTATTTTCACTTCTCACCCTTTCATATCTTCTCCTACCCATTTCCATGGCGTTTCCCTTCTTTTTCTGCGGTCTGGTTTGGGTTCGAGTTCGGTTTCGTGTTCGATTTTTTAGACAGCTGATAACATTCATTTATATTTAATGGTCTAATTTCTTTTTAGTTTCCTTAAATAAAATAAAATTTTTGTAAACGACAGTTAGTTGAATACGGTCATTTTTAATAGTATTTATTAAAATATTGTTGAATTTTAAAAAGTTTCATTAATAACTTTCCGTTTCAACAAAAGTTTAAAAATATTTTTTTATTGGTACTGCTATATTCGAGAAATATTTATGAAATTTTTAAAGTGCTCTGCTCCGACTAGTGCCTCTCACTGTTTAGTAACTTGACTTTGATACCATTTGTAACCGTCCAAATCTACTGCTAATAGATATTATCCACTTTAGCACTGACACTTTTACAAAGTTTGTTAGGGAGAAGTTTCTACCCCCTATAAAAAAAAATGTTACGTTCTCCTCTTCAACTGATGTAGGATCTCATAGGACACAAACTCGAAAGTTTCGAGACCGATAAATTATTGTTTTTTGCTATGTTTTGTACGTATAGATTGAGTACGACGTCGATGCCAAAGCATGTTCTTCATCTCCAATATATGGGAATGGAAAAGGAAAAGGAAAAAGGGTATTGGTTGGA